CAGTGAACGAAGTGGCGACAGTAGGAAAGAACAGCATTTTGTCATTTTAGGTTGGTGTTTGTGTAGCGGCCATTGCTGCTAACGCTGCTGGCCACTAGTTAACCAACTTATTCTGAGCAAAGGAGCGCAGTGGTCTCATTGAATATCATACTTTCTTTACTACACTTGTCCTACCTTGATGAACCTAGGTGACATAAAAGCGGTTGAGAGAAGAGAATCAGATATATGCACCAAATTTATGTTAATTGTTGACTGATCAGTATCATTAAGCTCTATCATTTACCAAGTAAAGTCCATATTGAAGGCAACAGTAACAGCACTGAAGGATACCTATAATACTGATCCATAACTTTAACTTTCTGTCTGCTTTTTTTTCTTAACCAACCTACAATCCAAGTCCAATTTCCCCGATACAGTGATTGGACCAGTTATTGTTGGCTAACCTTACCATCAGCTAGCAGACAAAACATCTGTAATGAAACAGTTGCAGAAACACACATCATCCATACATTTGGGAGGGCTGTGTCCAACAAGTTTTGTAACCAAAACCAGCAATCTGTCTCTCAAGCTCACTTCATGTGGTGTGTGGAGGTGACAAAGCAGGCTTTGAGCATCAATGTAAAGTTCTCTTTTTGTCATTCCTGACACAGGTATTTTACTGTGCATTATTTCCAGGACAGACTGCCTGAAAATCTGCACTAAAATCACCATATTTTTAAATGATTATTGCATCTAGTCCTACTCTATGATGGCCAGGTATCCACCCTGCAGAAAAGTGTGGCCATTTGGAACAGCAAAAAAACATTTTGCCTTAGGACTCAGTCTGATGGCATTTGGTATGAACTACTTATTTTCGAGCATACACGCCAGTAAGTGGGCAGAAACTGTATGGGTTAAGCCCAGTTTTTTAAGTAAAAGTAAATTAGGCTATCTTGCAGTTTGAATTGTTCTATAACCAGATTTCCCAGATGGCTGCTGCCAAAAGATCTGTTATAAACTTAAATTAGCTTGTTTCAATATTATATATATATATATATATATATATATATATATAATATGTTTTGCCTTACTGTAGTCTTGACTGAGACTTTGCTGATACAGATCACATTGTGCACATCCTCCCAGCTTTGTGCTGATCTATATATGTCATTCTTAATACTTTTCATTCCAAGTAGAATTGTTGATTGTCAATGAACACAACCATTTTAAGTTCAGTGTTCCACATTGTGACAACTATATCAAACTGTAAAGTCTGAACATAGAATTTGCATAGTTTGGTGATTAACACCTGTTTGATTTTATGCAACATGTAAGGTTAATACCAAATGCCCAGCCATCCCGTTCTCACTCCCAAGTTGTCACATATGGGCGCATGGTCAAGACACCTTGACATTAGTTTGTTATTTACTGGGGGAACCCCTGTAGCATAATGTTTTAACTGTAAAGGAGGTGGTTTGGGTGGATAGGTGGGCCAGAAACCGGACTTTAAGTCAGCAGAACAGTGTTTGTGTGTGAAACAAAAAGTCAACTTTTAATTATATTTAGTTATGCAAGTAAATTTACTTAACTTACATAAATTAAGTCATATAAGTAACGTTATTTTAAGCCAGACTAGGACCTTTTCATAATCCTAACTAAGTAGTTTTGTTGCCTAAATCTAACCAAATTGTGATGTTTCATAACATTAAGAATGTGCCATTTCACAAAGTTAATTACTAGTCTTATTTTGAACTTAACTTTACCAGACCTTGCATATTTTTTTGTCGCTAACTTGCCCACGAAGCTCTACACTTTAAAAATAATTATACTAAAGGGTACTCAGGGAGTTAAAATGTGATGCCAAGGTGTCTTGACCAAGTGTCCATATGTGACGAGTTGGAAGTGAGAATGTGTTGGCCCAGCTTAAATATTAATAAACAGAAGGGCTGCTAATGTTAGCAAGTAAGATATGACCTACTTGAGTTTCGCTTTGCTCTCTTCCTGGCATCACCTCCCACGCCCTTGTACAGTATGTCATACAGTAGATCAAACATTGCTGTCATGTGTAGGGGGGAAAAAGCCTATGTGTGAGTAGGCATTGCCAAAACCCTGACAGAACCCGAGCTCTGCTCGGCACAGAGGATATGTTATTTGGTGTGGACAAAGAGACACATAAAAAGAAAGAGATTACAAGAAATGACAGAACTAGAATTGCAGTAGAGAAAGAGAAATTAAAAGGAGCAGTGTGAGGAGGGACAGAAAGAATAATGATGAGGGGAAGCTGATGAAGCACACATATCTGAAAGAGACAGGCTAAAAAACACAACTTAGACAAATCAATGACAGCAGCTATAAGGGAAAGACGCACAAAGAGCAGAGGGTATCATTGCAAACATCTGTCACTATACTCATAATTCTGATGATCCCTTCACACTGCTGAAACACTGAGCACTCTCAAAGTTCTGTTAAGGTTTATTTCCTATAGCCTACAATCAGTCTGAATATGTGCTTCTGGTGTGTGTGTTTGTGTGTGTGTGTGCACACACTCTTATTCACACTGTCCGACCACCACAAGATATTTTTTTCCTTTTTAGGGTTAAGACCACAGGGTTGGTTTTAGGTTTAATGTTAGTATTACGACAACATTACAGTTGGAGTAAACCTCCAGGGAATGAACATAAGTGAATACGATGATCTCACAAGTATAGTCATGCAAGTGTGTGTTTGTGTGTGTGTGTTTCTGTTGTTATCGGTATCAGCCCAGCTTGCTGTAGTTACGACAGCAAGTCTTGTGTGCATCTTTATGCATGTAATTGCGACCTATCCACTAGTAATCATATGCGCTGGTAAGACTGTTTTGTCTGTGTGCGTGGGTGTGCATGCGTGTGTGGGCATCCCCTGCATTGCGCTCCTTCACCCCTGTCAAATAGCCATTGTGAAGAGGGAGGAAAGGATAACAATAGTAGCTGAGTTCTGCAGGGAGCTTGGCTGGAAGCATCAGCCTGAGGGATAGATGGAGGAAAGAGGAGATATGGATGCAAAATGAGAAATGAAGATGGGCATGAATGGAGGCGATGTAAGTAGGAAAATTGAAATTTTAGTGGGGAAGACTGATTGGAGAGGTAAGAAGAGCAAAATACTTCAGCGAGGAGAAAATAATTTCATGTTTATAAGTTTTCACTACTATGAAACAAGCCCAAATGTATTAGACTACATGTGTGCTGCTGCTGCCCCAACTAATAATGTGTTTCTCACTTTCTTTTCTGACTGCACAATGCGAAGGTATTCATAAAGCTTCTGCTCTTGAATCCTATTACAGTCCCATTGTATAATTTGAAAAGTAGAACATATTTCTTTAATTCCTGTGTTTTTTTATATAATACCAACAATTTTATTTATCCACAGACTTACATGGCTCCTGATTTGGCTCTTAGGTTTTAAAATATTGATCATGAAACTGCAGTACCTTAGGTTTGAGTCCATTGTTAACCATTTCTCTCTTCCCTCCATTTCTCTCTTCCCTCATTTCCTTTTTACTGTAAAGTAAATCTAATAAAGGCAGAATTTATATATATATGCTGCAACTTAAACTTCCAAGTTGCAACACAATACATCTGTTTTTCCATTCAAATTTACATTCATTCAATAAACTTCAGGCTTATTACATATTTGCTTGGAGAAGTGTTGGAGAGAACCAGATGGTTAAATAAGCAATTGGCTAGATTAGAAGTTGACATCTACACAAACTTTCACACTCACTCTCACTCTGTCTCTTGCTCGCTCTCTCTCTCGCTTGTTCACTCCCCCTCGCTCGCTCACTCCCCAACAGTCCCATTTATCACGTTGTGATTACTTGATAGCTTAGCCAGTTGGTAGCCCATGTTATAATGTTTAGCCAGCTGTGACAGTTGGCCTAATGACTGGACTGGGTTTATTTAATGGAGTGAAATCTGCTGGAAAGAGTTGCCAGATTCTAAGAAAATCTGTCAGGGTTGTAAGCAGGGAAGGCTGCCCCACCACATGCAATGAGAGGCAGGTGGACAAAAACAAGACTGTGTCTGGGTTCCCTTTCAAAGCAGCTGATGGATTAATTTCCCAGCTTGACTCAGGCCACTAATGGGGCCTGACAGACACTCAACCAAATGTACTGGATCAGACCACATTTTGTCCAAACACAACGCACACCATATTAAAGGACTATGTAGGGACTTTGTATGTTTTGATACATGGTTTGATATTTCTCCTTAGGGTTTAAACAATTAGTTGAAGAATCCACTAGTTGATCAACAGAAAATGAATTACCAACCATTTTTTATTATGAATTAATGTTTAAAATTTTCAAGCACAAATGTCAGTCACTTCTCTGTTTCCAGCTTCTCATTTTTCTGCTTTTCTCTGTTTCAAACCACAGTAGACTGAATATCTTTCTTCAACTGCTATTTTAAGATGTTTAAAAATTGTGATGGCCTTTTTTTCACAAAGAATACCCTATATTTATTCAATTATTTTGTACTTTTCAGCCAGCCACTGGATTCAGTTCATGCCAGTATGTTGTGAGAATCAACTTGTAGAAACTTGAATAAACTACTCAGCGCCTTTATTTTTGTCTCCAACTTATCAGTGTGTGTGTTGTTTTTATTACATTTAGCATCCCATAATTGACTGTTGACTGCACAGCAGCAGTGTGCTGATTATCTATGTTGTCAGAAATTGAAATGCTACCTGGTTTTAAAAGGTTGTTGTTCAGCAGCCCACGTTCCTCCCTGATTGCTATACCCTATACGTAGCTCTGTAAGTGTGAACACTGCTTACATAGACTATCTTTTGAGGTAAATTCAAGGTACAGAAAGCTGTCAGCATGAAGGACTAAAAATGTTGGATGTGTTTTGACAGATATAACTCTCACTTGTATTCAGCTTGCCAAATTGCAGTCGACCCTTGAGAGGAAGTGGGCCCACAGTCTGCATATACATATTTAATTTTCTTCACCAGTTGATACTGATTGACTGATCCATTCCCAGGTTTCCACCAGTGAGCGAGGAGGCTGCTGTTGGAACCCTGGTGGGAGCCATCATGGCAACTGCTGTCAATCAGACTATTGTCTACTTCATCATTGAAGGCAACGAAAGAGGTGAGTATACACTGAGTACGCAGTTGTGTGTTTCAGTATGGGTGAGTGTGAGCAGCTTGTTCACTTATACCGTTAAGTTATAAATGGGGTTATTAACTTATTAGCAGTGTTGTCCTATAGAGCATTTCTGTAACCACCAGATGTGTGGAGCAACAGAGGACATACACAGTGCAACCAAAAAACACCTTTCTCATTTTGCCCAAATTGCAAGAAAACAATTTCCCTAAATTGAAGCGTGACACTTCGCTACTTCAAATATCTTGGGCAGATTGGACGGCTATGTGATCTCAAAAGTATAAATGCAACCAAGAAACATTAAATCAGATATTGATTGATATCCATTTGCCCAAAACACCTCACGCATTGAGACACATTCTAGCCAGATTCTGAAAAGGTGTAAATGGATCCATCTCTCCAAGGCGCATGTGTAAACCTTACTCACAGTTGGTTTACACTTGGGACTGTGGAAATGGCCACTAACAGGGACTCTAGTCTAACAAAAGGTATAGAGTACAGGGATAGCATGAATGTAACTGTTACTGCTAAACTTGCATTTAGCCTGGGAAAACTAGACCCAATATAAGATTCATAAAAGATGTGGCTGAGAGTAAACAAAACAGTAATAAATTGCATCTGGATTTTATCCGGCTTGAAGTAGAACTCTATCCCTCTGTGTCCCCTTTTGACCTTCCTCTCCTATATTCTGCTCTCTGCTTCTTACATCCTACTTTCCCCTGCTCTTGCTGTCTTTGTTTTATCTCGCTCTCTCTCCGTGTCTCTCGTTCTCTCCCCAGGTGTGTTCGCGTTAAATGAAACAACAGGAGTGATTTCCACAGCCAAGCGCCTGGACTACGAGACCAGTTCCAGCTATGTTCTAAAGGTAGAAGCAGACTCCATGAGGTTGGCCTCCTCGAACCTCCGAGCTCCCTCTAAGAGTAAGTGCATTCCTCTAACATTACTTTTGACATTGGATTGCATCATATCAGATATCACAGATTCCCCTCTCTCTAATTATACATACACGCACTTAGTGTTAAAATATAATATTCATTACCCACTATGTGATATTGTTAAGATAACTGCCACAGGCTGTAGCTTTCTCTGGCACTCCTATTCTCTCCTACTCCAACTTCTACTTGTCTACACAATTATGTGTCTTAGAAGACATGATACCGGGCCTCCGCTGTTGTTGTTACCTTTCACGCAGCTTTTTCCCTACTCAGCTGTTTGTCAAATGTGTAGGCTACACCACACCAGCGTGTGGTCTTAACTGTTGCTGTTTTAAAATGCTCGCCTTTCCTCCTACTACTACTAGATTTGTGGCATGGAGTCGATCAGTCTGTGGCACTGCTCAGGTGTTATGAGAGCCCAGGTTGCTCTGATAGTGGCCTTCAGCTCTTCTGCATTGTTGGGTCTGGCGTATCGCATCTTCCTCTTCACAATACCCCATAGATTTTCTATAGGGTTAAGGTCAGGCGAGTTTGTTGGCCAATTAAGAACAGGGATACCATGGTCCTTAAACCAGGTACTGGTAGCTTTGGCACTGTGTGCAGATGCCAAGTCCTGTTGGAAAATGAAATCTGCATCTCCATAAAGTTGGTCAGCAGCAGGAAGCCTGAAGTGCTCTAAAACGTCCTGGTAGACGGCTGCGTTGACCTTGGACCTCAGAAAACACAGTGGACCAACACCAGCAGATGACAAGGCACCCTAAACCATCACTGACTGTGGAAACTTTACACTGGACTTCAAGCAACGTGGATTCTGTGCCTCTTCTCTCTTCCTCCAGACTCTGGGACCTTGATTTCCAAAGGAAATGCAAAATTTACTTTCATCAGAGAACATAACTTTGGACCACTCAGCAGCAGTCCAGTCCTTTTTGCCTTTAGCCCAGGCAAGACGCTTCTGACGCTGTGTCTTGTTCAAGAGTGGCTTGACACAAGGAATGCGACAGCTGAAACCCATGTCTTGCATACGTCTGTGCGTGGTGGTTCTTGAAGCACTGACTCCAGCTGCAGGCCACTCTTTGTGAATCTCCCCCACATTTTTGAATGGGTTTTGTTTCACAATCCTCTCCAGGGTGCGGTTATCCCTATTGCTTGTACACTTTTTTTCTACTACATCTTTTCCTTCCCTTCGCCTCTCTATTAATGTACTTGGACACAGAGCTCTGTGAACAGTCAGCCTCTTTAGCAATGACCTTTTGTGTCTTGCCCTCCTTGTGCAAGGTGTCAATGGTCGTCTTTTGGACAGCTGTCAAGTCAGCAGTCTTCCCCATGATTGTGTAGCCTACAGAACTAGACTGAGAGACCATTTAAAGGCCTTTGCAGGTGTTTTGAGTTAATTAGCTGATTAGAGTGTGGCACCAGGTGTCTTCAATATTGAACCATTTTACAATATTCTAATTTTCCGAGATACTGATATTGGGTTTTCATTAGTTGTCAGTTATAATCATCAAAATTAAAAGGAATGAACACTTGAAATATATCAGTCTGTGTGGAATGAATGTATACATTATACAAGTTTCACTTTTTGAATGGAATTACTGAAATAAATCAACTTTTTGATGATATTGTAATTATATGACCAGCACCTGTATGCCGATATTACAAAATTGCATAACTGTCCAGAATTTAACTCTAATATCAAACATGTTTGCAATGATCAAAGTGGCCAAATAAAGCTGGCGTGCAGTTTGGAAGATTGAAGATTTTATCTCTAGAGTTGCAGCTATTTCCAGACTCTTGTGTCCAAAACTCTGGTACCCAGTGATCTGTGCAGGTCAAGTCAGTTTGAAGTTGTACTGAACCTGCTGTAATCTGAGCACAGTCATTCAGTCTTTAATTGTATTTCTTTTTGTAAATTTCTCTTTCTTCAAGCTGTCTTAATTATCTTTCATTTATATCCTCATTTCAATCTTTACAAAAAAGTATTTCCTTTCAGTAGCATGTGGAAGGAAAGACAGACCAAAACAAGTTATTACAGTTTTAATTGAAATTACAGCTAAAGTGAAAATGACTCTAATTAGTCTCTAACTTGACCCCCTCTATCCTTCTTTCTTCCTGCTTCTTCTCTCTGCCTTTTTATGACTGTCTGCCTCTGCTGGTCTGTCTTTCTCTTTTCTCTTTCTTCCTTTCAAAACATATCTGCATTCTTCTTAATTGATGCACAGCTCCCGGGTTTCTCCTTTCTTCTTTAATTATGGTGTTTACCCCATGCTGTTCTCATTTCATCCAACAATTTGAATTTAAGCCTTCTGCGAAGATTAAAACTACAAATCATTGTAGTCATTAGCAAATCTCTTTCAATTCTTTTTGGTATGCATTTTAATCAGGTAACAAATCAATAGGATTCTAACAATGTGTTAATCCGGTTTTCTAACTGAAGTGAAGGTTGGAATCGCAAATAGACATTTTGAATGGTGTCTCATTGGCTGTTGTAGATAAGCAGATTAATGTTTGCATCTGCTTGTTTGCATTTTTCTTTTTACGTGACAAAGATTTTTATGTGATTTTGTTAGTTTTTTTCCTTTTGTTTTTCTTGGAGAAAAACTTCACAAGCAGTTCACAATCCTGGGATTTGTTCTCTCTTTCTGATACATGATTCACACTTTTACAGAGTTTGGTTGATGGGACTGTGTTGCAGTTCTACGTGGGTATGATTCACATTTCCCTGTTTTTGGCCAGATAAGGCTGAATGTGAGTCATTACAAGCTGCAGTCATTGACTTTGATTGACAGAGGCGCATTGTGTTATACTGAATGTGTAGCTCGAATTCCAGTAATGTTGAATCTATTTTTTCCATGCAGTATGTGTGTGTAATTCAAAATACCACTTACAGTATTATTGATTCAAAACCTAATTTTTTAAAGGCTTTTGACTTAAATCAAATAAATAAAAAAAAATGTTTTTCCCCAAACTTTAACTTTGACTGTTGCTTTTATAGTCACGACTATTTCAGTGTGTAGAGAAATGTTTAAGATTGATTTGGACTTTAACTCTCCTTGTCTGTGTGTGTTGTTCTCCTGCTCCTCTTTGTTTTCTGAAAATGCTGCTGATCTCCTCATGGAAATGAGCTGTAACTTCGGCTGTAGAGTTTCTACTAGGAGAGGCTGCTCAATCATTGTCAGACCAGTTTTACACTTGCCAACCTGTGTAACCTATAGAAAATGAAAGCAACAGCAGCAACAATTTAGACCTGCACTGTAGACATGTCAATATTATCACCTGCAAACAGAGATAGTAATAGCTGCTGCAGTTGTAATACCTGTGACACCTGCAAGAAATACAGTGGCTGCAGGCAATGCAGGAACTATGACTTCCCCTGCCTGTTTTCTTGTCCAAAAGTTGGAGTACTACTGCAGGTTCAGAAACTACTGGAGCTGTAGCTGGATCATAATGGCTGGTCTTGGTTATGGGTGATTTACATAAATGATAATATTTGTCCTTTTTAATTCATTTCATGCATTTTATTGTTTGCCTTTTATCCCCATGTCCATATAACTTGTTCTCTTACTATAAAACACACTTTGTGAGTCTCTTGAAACAACTGCAATAGAAATTCTATGCAGTTCATCAAGCAGCTCTACACAGCCTGTTTGCCAGCAAATGTCCTTCACAGAAGCTTCCTTTTTTGCTTTTTTAATGTGTGTCCTAGCTAATACAGCTAAGGTGGTGATCGATGTCCAGGACGAGAACGACCACTCGCCGGTTTTCACCACATCTCTTTACATCGGAGGGGTTGCAGAAGATGCTAAAACCTTCACTTCCATCTTGCAAGTACAGGTACAAGCAGCCCATCTTGAGTCACCTCTATACTCACATGGCACACTCCTCACTGCAACATATATCGAAAAATTATTTTAATCTTGGCGGTGTACTTAAGCCATCAGAGCTCTGTTCACTCACAGGGTGCATGTCTGCTGCCACACGTCTCACTTAAAAGCTACGTTTTGTTTGCTGCTACAGCCGCTGCTGCTGCTATTCATATAGTATTTTAATAGCTCCACCTCCACCCCCAGTAGTCCACTATCGTTGCTCTCCAAGACCTCCAAGTGTCCTTGTGGGTAGTGACGAAGTCAGAGCTTAGACGAAAAACATTAATGCTGTTCATATTCCACATTTACATAATAATATGTTCCACGTGAGTTAGCTGACTGAAATGCTATTGCCTTGCAATAATTAATATCTTGGTAAAGCTTATGGTGTTCAGTTTTTGCTGAGATTATGTCAGAGAAGTTGGAATTCAACTGTAATACAGCTTTTTTAGGCTACAGCATATAATATTGTTGCATGCATTGCTTTGCATAAAATCTTCCTTTTTCTTATGTTACCAGTTCTTACATAAAACAGTTTGCCCGATGTGAGGCGCAAAATATTACAAGTTGGATGCAAAAGTAGCCCAGCCATGGCAACTTTCCAGCACAATTCAGCTTAGCTCAGTGTGTATGTGCTTCCAGTGCCCATGTGGACTTTTGTCCTTGTATTTGTGTTTATTTTAAAGGTTCAGTGTGTAAGTTCTAGTGACATCTAGTGGTGAGGGTTGCGAATTGCACCCCCCCTACCCTACCCAAGCGAACAGTGTAGCTAGGGTGCTGACAGAACAAAGGTGTCATCTGAGATAAAAGAGATTGCCAGTCAAGAAATTAGGTTTCTATACATAGATGTGTTAAGAAATTATATAAATTATGTAAAACCATATGTTTTTTTTTTTTTTATATTATTTTTACTTTCTCATGAATAAACAACAGCCACATGACGAAATGAAGTGCTACATGATGTCTCATACTCCTGTAATACATCATTTTACTTCTTGGGAGGGTTGGCTCATCTGGACTAACATACCAGAGAAAATGAAGAAATTCACATCACATCTAGTGTATCAAGTATGACCACTGACAGATAACAGGACAATGTAAGCCTCACTGTTTCTGCACCACAGTCCATTATAAACCACATAATACATGAAGTTTATGAAGGCATTGGCTGGTGAGAATCAAGGCTCCTCTGGCTTTGCTTAATTAGATAAGCAATCTGCAAATATTACCAAAATGTCTTTTGAATTTTTTGAAATACAACAGAAACACAAAGTAGTACTGACAGACATAATTTCAGCTTGTGGTAAAACGGCGCAATGTTTTTAATGGGCATTTAGCATGTGAAATTACAAATTACATATTTGTGTGCACAGTGGGAAGCAATATCCAGTAAGTTTTTTTAATGCAAATTCGGAAAGTATTTATTATTGGTCACTTGATAGGCACACGGTCTTACTATATATCACCATTAGCAGTAAAAAGAAACACATGTTTTCCACCAGGGCAGTAAAATGTGAAGTTTAGCTGCTGATCTGAGCTTCCCTGCTGTTACAGTTTCATTACATATAATATTCATGATCTGTTTGTCTCAGGAAGGTAATGGCACATTTCTGTCCACATAACAAAGCCATAACAGAGCGCTGGAGAATAACTACATGAAATTACAATCCAACTACAAAAAGTTTAGCTGGCGGATCTGAGCTTCAATGCTGGAAGCTGCGGTTTTATTGCCAGTTAGTGATCAGCTGATTCTCACAAACATAACATACAAAGCCAAAAACAGAGCGCTGGAGAGAGACAACTACATGAAAATGAATCCAATTAACATAAAACCACAAGCCAAAGCACAGCGCTGAAGAATAAACCAATCCAACTAATAATAAATGTTTTCAGTAAAAGTTTAGCTGGCTGATGCTTCCATGCTCTAACCTAACGTTACGGATTTTATTGCCAACTAACCTTACTGATCAGCTGATTGTCTCGCTAACTAACGTAACCAGCAAAGCCAAACCACAGGCTGGAGAATAAGTAGGCGACATGAAATTAATCCATATTTCACACACTGACATGAGAAACACGTCATGTCTCTCAGTGATTATGGCCAGCTAATAGCTAAAGCTATCAAACTTCTGACAAAGTTAATTACCTGTCCAGCAGAAAACAGACAACTTCAGCACCGCTTTGAAAACATCTGTCCCACATTAATGTTATAGCCTTCCATTTGAGAAAATCCACAAAATCCATGATTTTTGCCGTCAGCCGTCTGTCCCGACTCCGTCTGGCTGTCGGCTCTGAACTAATATGACTGTAAACAACTCAGGCTGCTTTCGTGTTATTAGAATGACCCAAAATGGGTCACAGAGTCTTATCTGTTTCAGCCTCTATCTGAGAAGTAGCAATGAGCCTTAATGAGCCTGGATGCATGAGTCTTTGGCAGAAAAATATGTGCTTTAATATTTTATTACCGTTTTTAACATCATTCTTAGATATTCCTGCTTCATTTGATCATAGACAGCGAGAGTGATGGGAAAGATGAGAGAATAAGGGAGAGCATATTTCAGAAAATGAACTTTTCTCACTCACTCTCTCTCTGAGATTTCAAGTTATTATTCCTCTACTGCAAACACCTGAGGCGGTGGTTTTGCATGTGAATTTTCAGTGTTAAAACTATATTTGGCTGGAGCTGCTTTACAGTAACCCACTCTACAGTCACCTGACCTCTTTAAATACTTGAGCAGGCAGACGGAAAGAACTGAGAGCCTGCTAGTAGGCTCGATCACCACAGGGAGAGGCAATGGATCTTTGAGGTTGGAGGTTGGAAGGAAGAGCAAAGATTGATGGGTAGATAAAGATAACTGGCATCCTGCTGAGAGACAAACTGACTGGACAGAAGAAGGCAGGGAGGACATACATGATTCATGGGCGGATGAATAGATGGAGTCGGGGTATGCCTAGAAAGATGGACAGGGATGCTGGCGGCAAACTTTGCCAACACGCAGACGAAAGAGTAAGTGAGACAAAGTATGAAGAAAAAGTTTGAGACATTTGAATTTTCAGACTCAGTGGCTCCACTCAAGTATAACTAATTCCATCACATCTGTCTGAAGCACGCTCGTTGTCTTAATGAGTTTTGTGTGTGTGAGTGTACCAGGCTACATTTTTTGTTATCCGTGTATACTGCTTCATACAGGGCTGTCATGCCTCCAGAGTGTACGTGTTCAAGTGCACATGCAGGAGTTCGGTCCTTTTGTCCCTCAGAGGATGCCAGAACACAGACTGATCGGATTGCAGATTAGTAAATCTACTTGCTACATGCAAAGATTCTTTCTCTAAATAAATCTTTTTTGTCACATTTTATCTTCCCAAGGCGTTTCTGTCACTTATCCCACCACAACCAATGCAAATGCAGAGGGGTGGATTTTAATTACTAATTCAAACTTTCCCTTTTAAAGTCTGTTCAGACCAAAAATGGCCCTGCATAAAAATAAAAAAAATAAAAACTACTGCATTGATTGCTGGAGGTACAAGGAGAGAAGTTTACAATTGAAAATCCAGGAAGTCCAGTTTAAATAATACATTCATGAGTTTGAGGTTTATCACAGCGATGATCATTTTATTCTTTATTTTTATTTTATTCATGACAATCTGAAGGTTAAACAGTAAAAATACAGCAATCATTTCACCTAATAATCTATCTAGAATGTGGGATAGTATGTATTTGACTGGCAAATGCAGTACCTTGCCAGATGTGTTGCCTTTTTCCACATTGGCACTTCAGTGCTTTCATTGACATTAATGGGGAGCTACTTTATTTTTTTCATACAGTGTGTTCGCTTATCTCTACATGGCCTTACTTAGCAAGTGATTCAGTCATCTTGTAAAAATGCTTTTGAATGAGGCTCAGGTGTGCAGGGTGCAGACTGTGAGTGGTTGCCTTTAATGTGGCTTTCACATTGTTCTTGTCAAAATGAGCAAAATACTGGATGGGGAGAGCTTAAAAAGCGCTGAAATGTTGACAGCTAACTAAAGTGCTTTGCCACTGCATTTATTTTTGAGGATGAATTGTTTTGCTACAATTAAAGTGAAGCAAATGGGCTTTTTATTTTAACCTCCAGCTGTCACTCAAAGCACATTATAATGCGGAGTCAAAAGCTATGTTCCAATTCCATACTACATCCTAATTGTATTCAATATATACAGTATACTATATACTCGTAGTTCAGTCCTCATTTTCCTCAAGTTCCCATTTCACCGCCATCCAGAATTAGTATTTCTTTTTACAGTTCTCAACTCACGGGTTTTTAGTATCCACACTGTTTTAATTATACTTAATTTTATCACTCAACACCTGCTTAGTAGTTGTATGTTTGTGGATTTTCGACACAGTTATACTCTTCCTAGGTGCAAAGAAAATAGTCAGGTCTGTACTCCACACCTGTGCTGTTGTAGTTCAAACAGGCGGTTGATATTACTGCAGATATTAATGTATTGCTGAAAAGTTATCCTAACTGTGCTATGCACCTCTGCAAATGAGAACTCAAAAAAATGGATCTGTACAATTTTTTCTTCTCTCATTCCTCCCTCCTCTCCTTATTCCCCCATCTTGCTATATGTATACGCCTGTGTTTCCTTTATTTTTTATTTTCGTCTTTGCTTCCCTTTCCTTATTTCACGGCCATAAGACAACTTTTTTGTGTGTGTGTTTCTTGCTATCACAGTGTTACCTTTGATGTGGTGGGTGTCTCAGAGCTGAATATGTAGTCTGTTCTCCCAGCCCTTCTTGTAAAGACCTGGCAATAAATCAATGTCTGTCTGAGTGTGTGTCTGTGTCTGGATGTGAATGTGAGGTTTGCGTGTCTGAGCGAATGAGGGAGAGACTTGATATTTAGCCAATATGACAGAACAGATGAATAGACCTGCACACAGCTCAAAGCACCACTTTACCCCCTACTGCTGAGTCAGAGTACTACATCAAACAATACAAGTGCTGAAAGTCTCAGAGCAGATTTCCCCCAACGAGAACAAAAACAGAAAAAAATACATCCAGTAAAAGCAACAATATTATGTGGCCTTTTGGTGAGTGAGAAATACAAGACAGGTAAGATATCAGTCCTGGGCCTTATCAGTATACATGGCAGCGCTGCGTATTGATCAGCTGCTCAGACACATGGAATCAAACAATGAGGAGGTGAAGGGCTCATCACAGATCACACATAATTAAATATTACAACAGCAACAGTGACTTGATCACAGTGCTGTTTGTGTGGATGATAATGATGATGATGGTGATAATGACATTTCATTATAAAAGTGGTTATCATGATGTCATTGCAGTGGTGTCATGGTGATGATTATAATAATGACAGTGTGTGTAGTGATTCTTATTGCCCTCATTTTACAGGCGCTGGACCGAGACACTGGTAACTACAGTTCTATCATGTACCGGCTGATCATTCCCCCACCTGCTGGGAAAGACACCAAAGACAGCAAAGACGGCTTTGTCATCGAACCGTACAGCGGCGTGGTGAAGACGGCAATCATGTACCGGAACATGAGGAGGTCATATTTTAAGTTTGAGGTGGTTGCTACAGACAACTATGGTCACGGACACAGCAGCAAGGCAGAGATAGTGGTGTGTATATATTTTTCTACATTGGTGGCAGGTTTATAATTGTTTCCTATAAGGAGGTTTATTTCTTCTTATAATCTGCATTTCCCTTAATTTCAAGATTTATGATATGTCTGCAGATAAAAAAACTAAATTTCAGTTGTGCCAGTGGTACTGTAGGTGCTGTCTGATAAGGCTGTGAAATCATTCACAGCTGAACATGCTGCTTTCAGCTTAATTTAAATGCAGAAATTAGTTGTGTTTACATATTTTCGGTTGTGTAGGTGTCTGTCGTGAACCAACTCGACATGCAAGTGGTCGTATCAAATGTCCCCCCAACTTATGTGGAGAAAAACAAAGACAAGCTGCTCAGGTAACGTACATTACATCTTTTTTTTCTTATGTATTACATTACATTTACTCATTTAGCTGGCAGTTTTATCAAAAGCAACTTACAATTGCTATACATGTCAGAGGTTGCACACCTCTGGAGCAACGATGGGTTTTGCTCAGGGACACAGTGGGAATTGAACCTGGGTCTCCTCAAACCAAATTCCTGTGTCTTATCCATTGCACCATTGCCACCCTATAATAAAATATATTAATAAATCACCTAAACATCTCTTTTAGGAAGTCTACTGACACTCTTATCTAGAGAGCAGGCAGTTTCAGTTCAACATTTACCATCAACATTGCAAATGCTGATGGACACCTTGTCAGCTGAACAATTGACTCTCTGCTTATATAGAATTTATTGTCACAATCTGGTAGACAAACAGCTGCCCACTCTCCTTGAAAAAGTATATTGTATATCTCAGAATATGTATTTTCATAGAACAGTGCAGTGATATGGATGAAAAACACGTTGCTGTCCATGTGCAAATTGTCACTGTAGGTTAACAGTCATAGAATACTGAATTAAGCTTTAACATTGATTTCATGGCATTTTAGATTTTACAGTTATATTACACAGTTAGACTAGTCACTGGTTGTCTTTATTTAGTTATGATGTGTTTTCATAGAAAGGACTGAAGCTGTAATTGCTACCATGGGGAAATCAACATGACTTGATAAAGAGCACGAATAGTCTTGTGTTTAAAAATAGTGTTTTTTATCATAATGAAGTGTCCTAGTAAGAATGAAGTTACCACAAAGTTCTCACACTGAACCCACACTGGGACTGTGATCGAGACAGACATCAGACCGCCACAGCTAGACCACCCGAGCAGACACTGTCAAAAAACAGACCAAGCTGTGCTTACAGATGTTGTTCATTATGTGTTGTTTTTTTTGTCAGTATTGAAATTAAGGGCACTAAGATATCCAGGGTCTAGCCCAGATCCTTGTATGCAAATATGAAGACATATTTTCCCAGGCATGTTTTTTAGGATACATTTCCACATTGTTGATTTTTTTCACCTGTTATTTTTACCTATGCCATCAGTTGGCTCCTTTGCAAAAACATGTTCATTCATTTGAATGAAAGGCAAGATGTTAATACTAACAAACACACACTGCATTATTCATTATATGATATCATATTTTTGCCATGTACACACCCCCCAGTGGCACCATCAGACCAAAATTGTCCTACAGCTCAGTCAGGTTGCTGCTTTATTTTGCCTCACACACATAACTTGATAATGATGTTTTAAAGCACTTACTGCCTTTTTGCTCTGCCTCACTCTTTCAAATACATACACACTTGCACACGCCTATGAGGGACCATTCCTGCTGTGAGCAGGTGTTTCTGGGGGGACAGAAATCAATATTTCACAGCACGAGTCTGCATAGCTGACAGGATGAACAAAATGTGTGTGTGGGTTTTGTGTGGCTTTTTTGTGTGTGTGGCTTTGTCTTTGCATGTTTGTAAGCACATGCTTGTGTACACAGAAGTGTATTTTTGTATTAATGTTTGTGTGTTTTGGCCATGTCGACATGCTGAAGGAGTTAAAATAGTGTGATCCAATCAATCAAAATCCATAATTTTTCATCCTCAGTATTTTGGAACGCTACGTCCAGGAGCAGATACCGGGTGCAAAGGTTGTCGTTGAAACCATTGGTCCCCATCGCTATGGTGATGGAATGGAGCAGGAAGACTACACCAAGTCGGACCTCATGATTTATGCTATCGACCCGCTGACAAACAGAGCTGTATCTAGTCAGGAGCTCTACAAGTAAGAACTTTGCCAACAAATCCATGAAAAGTAAAATGGCAGCTTTCCAAAAGCTTTATATCATAAAATGGGACAGGACCTAACCTAAATTACATCGCAATTAAGTCATTCCTAAATTAGTGTGCTGCCATTCATACAATTTTTTAATGCATTTTGTTGAAGTCAATCTTGTACTTTCTGGTATCTTACTCAAACAAGAAGAAAAGTTCTTACTAGCTTTTGTCTGTTATCATTTTAACTGGGAAATAGAAACAAATAGAAAGCTTAAAAGATTTGCCAGTGTAACAGAACTCAGTGGGCATGTGTTTGTATGATCTTAGCGTGAAACTGGCTGACCACCATGCAAACACCCATTGATGTTCACATCCCTTGCACTGAGTAATGTGTTTATTGCCAAATGTACATAGTGTCAGTTACATGATTGGGTTTCTCACCCCAAGGTTTCTCGATGGTAAACTCTTGGACATCAATAAAGAGTTCAATCCCTTTCTCCCTCCTGGTGGACGGATTTTGGAGATCCGAACCCCCGAAGTGGTGACCAGTGTAAAGAAAGCTGTGCAGACTGTGGGTTACACAGAAGGGGCGCTTTTGGCTCTGGCAGTTATTATCATTATCTGCTGTGTCCCCGCCATATTGATTGTCATTATCACCTACAGACAGTAAGTATAAATTACATGTAGAATTATTACATTTTGTGTAGAGTTTGCAATAAAAATGGCACTTTTATCAGGGACTTAGGGAACTTAGACTGAATGAGCTAACTGTTTTAAAGGATATGCAAAGAGTGTGTGTATGTGTGTCTGTGAGTGTGTGTGTGTGTGTGTGTGTGTGTATATATATATATACATATAAACAAACAACGCTGGCAATTTCTCCCACAGGACATCCTTTTGAGCTATTTATCATTTTATCACCTGTGTCAGCCTGGCAGCCTGTCCCTCAGTGCCAATTCTAATAGTTTGTTTAGCTAACCACCGTGAAAGGCTATTCATTTCATCCGTCTCCTGAACACACATAAACAAGCACGTACACACACACACACACACAAACATTTAAACTGGATCAGTGCATTTTGGAGAGAGCTACTCATCCTGCTGAGAAAGAGAGACACAAAACAGACTGAGGAGAGGAGATTTGAAGAAAGACGGTACTAGTCATCAGCATAATAATCACTAGTCTCTGTAGCTAAATGACTGTAATGAAGACCAACTATCCAACTTGCTTGTAAATCACAATAAGTAAACCTGGCTAACAAGACGTGCTGTGTGATTTATGGTTCAGATAATCACTAATCTTTCTCTCTTCCCCTGTCCTCTCATCTGCTGCGTCTATCACCAACAGATTCAAAGAGTGAGTACTGCTTTCATATTCCTGTACTAAAGTATTAATGTCATGGCTGTCTTAAACACCTTTCACTGTGATTAATGTGTAGACTTTCATTGTACAATAAAATGGATGAAGGGCGGTGAAACAGAAAGGACAGCACACAATCAAACAAATGAATCCTGAAAGACATGGAATGAGTCAATGTTCAAGACTGATGGTTTTATTATCTCTGCATGTGTGCTAGAGAGAGAACGTTGATATCATAGGTATTCAGATGTACCCTTCCTTGATTCCCTTGGTTTTGCTGCTAGAGCCTTATTTAGTTTGGTGTATCAAATACAATATGGATAATCTTAGCAAACAATGGCTTTATGGTGCTGTGTAACTCACATGAGGCAATTTGCAGATTTTATGAATCTTCTCTACTTGTGGTAACATCACACTACGTTTTAGCATGTCACCGATTAACATTTTGATGGTTTGGGATATGCGTAAGTAAAATATAAAGAGAACCCACTGTATATGTTTGTTGTTTCCAGCTTGTGGTTCAATTCCATGAGCACTGTCAGGTTCTTTTATAATGAAAATGAAAGCTACTGTTTGAAGATAAACTTGGAAAATGAGGTGGATTTCAATGTGGCCACATTAGACACTGTTCAGGAAATATGTTGCATTACTTAAATTTCCATTAAGTCGTGTAGAGAGGCACATTGAACAGTTTGTCCACAAATTACAATTTTATATTCACTGTATTAAGCCTAGAAAGAGGGACACAAACATTCACAGAAAGTCTACAGCAAGCTTCTGCTAGGCTGTACTAAATGCTTTTGCTAACTGGCATGCTAACATTTGCAAATTAGCAATAAACACAATATACAACTGAGACTGATGGGAATGTCATTAGTTTTGCAGGTATTTGGTGACAAACCAAATTATTGGAAATTGGAAACTGGAAATTTTACTTGATGACTATCCTTGAGGAAAACCTAAGGGATCACAAAGTGATTATATTTCATCCTGAGGATGACAGGAATGTGTGTAATAATAATAATAATAAATAATAATGCATTTTATTTAATGGCGCCTTTCATAACACCCAAGGTCACCTCACAGACAATATACAGATCACTGCATAAAACAATATACAAAGCAAACAAGCCACATACAGATAAAATACATTAAAAACTCAGTACAACATGTTATAAAAAAGCTTGTATAAAAAGTCTGTCTTAAGACGCGTTTTAAAAGTCAACAAGCAGTCGCTATTGCGAACATCAAGGGTAAGAGAGTTCCATAGGCGGGGGGCAGCATAACTAAAAGGTCTGGCACCCATGGTATTTAGTCGGATCTGAGGAACCACAAGAGAAATTGAAGATGAAGATCTGAGAGCACGTGGAGGGGTGTAAACATGGAGAAGTTGTGTGAGGTATTGGGGTGCAAGATTATGAAGTGCCTTATAAGTAAGTAGCAGGATCTTAAATTCAACTCTATACTTTACTGGAAGCCAGTGCAATCGCTGAAGAACATGAGGTGCAGAATTCTGAACTAACTGAAGCTTATGTAGCAATTTGGAGGGAACACCTGTGAAAAGAGCATTACAGTAGTCTATATGTGAAGTGACCAGTGCATGAATAAGAACTGCAGTATTATTATTTGAAAGAAAGGGGCGGAGACGGATAATATTACGCAAGTGGAAGTATGCGATCCGCGTGATATTATTAATTTGAGCTTCAAAGGATAGTGTGCTATCCATGATGACACCCAAACTTTTAACCTGTGAAGAAGGATAGATTACAGTATTGTCAATGTACAAAGAAAGACAATTAGATCTAGACAAAACAGATCGAGTGCCAATAAGCAAAGCCTCAGTTTTGTTGCCATTTACCTTCAAGAAGTTAGCGGAAAGCCAGTCTTTAATTTCAGCTAAACAGCTGGACAAAGATGGTGGTGGGAAAGAACCAGTGGGTTTGGCAGACAAGTAGAGTTGGGTGTCATCCACATAACAGTGGAAATGAATCCCATATTTCCTCAAAATATAACCAAGAGGGAGCATGTAAATAATGAAAAGAAGCGGGCCCAAGACAGAACCCTGGGGAACACCAGTAGTGACTATGGATGTTCTTGATCGAAAACCTTTTAATTGGATACGCTGACTGCATCCAGATAGATATGACCTAAACCAAGACAGAGCAGTGCCAGTAATACCAATAGAAGCTAATCTGTCAAGAAGTATCTTATGTGAGACAGTATCAAAAGCAGCGCTCAAGTCTAGATGGACAAGTATGGATAAAAGCCCAGAGTCAGCTGCCAACAGTAGATCATTGGTTATTCTGACAAGAGCAGTCTCAGTGCTATGGTGGGGATGAAAGCCAGATTGAAATTGTTCATACAAATTATTATGAGAAAGATATTCATGAATTTGAACTGCAATACACTTTTCCACTACCTTAGAGATAAATGGTAAATTTGAAATTGGACTAAAATTATCAAAATTAAATGGATCACCCCCTGGTTTCTTAAGAATGGGAGTAATAATGGCAGATTTAAGAGATGAAGATACAGAACCAGAAACAAGTGAAGCATGAACAATTTTAGTAATCAATGACGACAGGGCTGGTAAACAAGCTTTCACTAAAGGAGTAGGTAGAGGGTCTAACTGACAAGTCGAAGATTTAGATTTACCTATCAGACCCACTATCTCTGAAGTAGTTGGTAGTGTAAAGTTAGAGAAAACAGAGTGGGGAGGTGTGTAAGTGACCTGGAGTTCTCATTACTAACTCCAATTATGTTGGAGTAGTAATCAGATTTAGCCTTGGACAGTGCATTTTTATAATTTCGAATATGTTCAGCATACATTTCTTTATGAACAGTAAGGCCAGACCTGACATATAACCGCTCTAACCTACGGCCTTTAGTTTTAAGTTCACGTAGTTCAGGTGTAAAACCAAGGAGCTGAGTGTACAAATGAAACAGTTCGAGTTTTCACAGGTGCAAATTCATCTAAAATCATGTTCAGTCCATCACTGTAGTATGTAACTAGTTCATAGTAGATAAATCCATTTTATTGGAGAAGATGGCAAGGCACATCAATGTTCTTAATATTCCGAAATGTGATCGAACGACATGGGTTTACCTTAAAAACTGCCAATTTGGCACAAAAGGACACCAGCAGGTGATCTGATATGGACAGATCAGAGACAGTACAATTATAAGGTGTTATACCAGAACAGCAAACAAGATCAAGAGTATGCCCCTTAGTATGAGTGGGCAATGTGTTAAATTGTTGCATACCAAAGTAATCCAAACATGATAAAAATTCACATGTAAATGCATTACTGACATTGTCTATATGAATGTTAAAATCACCCAGAATGATTACATTTGGAGACATGGAAGATAGATAAGTCAAAAGTTCAGATAGTTCAGTTAAGAAGGCATTATTGCTCTTGGGAGGACGGTAAATAGTTGTGAGGATGGTAGGAATTGCATTGATTTTTAAGGCAGTTGTTTCAAAAGAATCGTATATTAAATAATCCAAAGGACAAATTGTTTTTACCAGAATCGTTGCCAACCGATCTGGCCAGGTTGGTTAATACACTGTGATCGACAGTCCGTGAGAGCCTCTTCGGTGAGCGTGGTTTAGATGACCAAAAGGACCGTATTTGACATGAGCCATCAATGTTATAACTCCACCGAGACCCGCGATGTATATATTTCCGACGTGGTATGTACACAATATCCGAGGGAAGATATGGAGCTGACGGAAGATTAAAAGGACGCAAACGGAGCTGAGTAAGTTCCGCCGCCGAATACTGGAGCATCGACCATGCCACAGAATGGTATATAGCAGAAAGGACAACCCAGATGTAGTTCATCCGCACCAGTAGCTCAGTGATCTTCATAGTTGATCCAAGTGCCAGAGGTACCACGAAGAACAGTCAGTAACCAGCAGGCAAACCGGCAACCGCAGAAAGCATCAACACGTACCAAAACCAGCATATAAACCCGCCGAATCAGCGTGGATACACAGGTCAGAGTGGCTCCTTAAAATAGTTTAAAATAGTTCATAGATGCATCCATGCATTCATAAGTGCAGGAAACTTTAGAAGTACTAAAAGTTTTAAATTCCCTCCCTGAGCAGCGGCAGCTAATAGCGCCAGCGTTCACCTGGAAGTGTACGACATGTCATTGTAATTCATCCAACAGTTGTAGAGACATTTCACTAAAAACCATCTTGGAAGCATGAATGGCTGCATTGCAATTCATCCAGTAATTATTAAGATATTTCAGTCTGGACCAAAATGGTAGACTGACGAAAAGACGAGCATGGCACATACACACACACATTGACACACATACAGTTTTACTAAACTATACTATAGTAAAATGTACCTATACTGTACAGCAGTCGTCGGCAATAGGCAGCCCGCAGGCCAGAACCGGCCTGCCAGCAATAATATCTGAGCCGCGGCCAAATTGCTTTGATAGCATAAAAATAAATAAATAATAAATAAAATAAATAAATTGATAGCAGCTGGTCATGACAAAGTTTGTCATGACAGCTGCAGTTACTCACAAAATCTCTTCCTCTTAAGTGATTGTGGCTACAAAATAACAGCGCCAGAACGTTTTTTGCAACAATGCTTTATGTTGAGTTTATTGAGAGCTTGAGAGCTTTTACTTTGAAGAGTTCTGAAGGACATTCACAAGAGACTCTGGCCTGCTTGACACACCTCTGAAAAAGCCGTCTGTAAATGTGGGATTGGATTCCCCTGAACCTCCTCAGGGAAAAGGAAACAAGCATCCATAGGTTTTTGAAGCTGGATCAAACGCACACTGCAGCACATGCTTACTGTGAGCATGTGCAAAAATTTCCTTATAATCAATTTGTTTAACAAGGGAGAAAAAAAAATATCTATCTAATATCTGCAGTTAGTTGTAATCGACCTTACAACCTTCCTAACGGGAGTCCCGCGCAGTACCAACTGAGCTAAGCAAGCACATGAGTATCCAAAGACTTTAAATAATTCGACGTTGTTCTGGCCTGCCATATAACGGCTTGAAAAAAATTGGCTATACAGTGTGAAAATATTGTTAAAGTTGCATACTGTTAGAACATACACAAATAAATAGGAGTAGTTGACAAGAGGACTACCTTAAGGACAGATTGTTTTACCGGTTTTGGACAATGAAAGAAGTTAGAAATCCTCCCTGCTGATTATGACCATTTTTCTGCTTTCTATAGTTGGGATTTTACTCTAACTTTAGATAACTAACTCTGTCTTTGCTCTCTGCTGTGTCCAGACGCCAGGCAGAGTGTGCCAAAACAGCCCGTATCCAGATGGCACTGCCAACAGGCAAACCTGGGGGAGGCACTGCCAACAACCTGTATGAAGAGCTGGGTGACAACGCCATGTAAGTGAAGTGTGAAAGTGGCATTTGCATTGATGGGCCAATGCAGAGGCATTAGCTCACATTTTTTTGGCTGTTAAACCTTTGGCCTTTTCCTGCTTTGAGAGCTTTATGGTGTACACACATGCAATCAGCCCCATAATTTTATATCTCCCTGCATTTTAACTATAACTATAAATGCTTTTGCAAAAATACTTGTCCCAAATTTTCCCAGTTTCACCTCTTTCATGGACTACCATTTTGAAGCCTTGAGTTTGGCATTTTTTCCCATCGCCATCTTGTTTTTTTTAGAACCAGAAGTGTCCATATTCAGATGAGAGGGTGGAGCTTGCTAGCTTGGTTGGCAATGTGCATCCGTAATTCACAGTAAATATGATATTAACTGGGATGTTAATTTTCGCTAGAGAGAAACAGGATTAAAACAACGATTGAGAAAAAAGACAACGATATTAAGGATCAACACTGTTCCTATAAAGCTGGGTAGGCCTCTATTCATTATTACAGTCATTAAAAAGCAGAACAGTAGGGCTTTATTACGTTACATACAGTGGGAAGTTAGCTAGCGTTAGCTAACTAACATTACATTAGGAACGATCCACAGCCAACATTTTTCTGGATTTGTTTTAGGTTTTGAAAAGAGAATAAATCGTACTTCTCCTTTCAACCTCTCTGGGTAGCTGCTGTAACTATTACAAGTGCCCCAGGAACAGCGTTTGACCATTTCTTGGAAAAATACAGCCAAAAAAGGCTAGAAACGGACTGCATTATAGTCAATGGAGCGCATCCATGAAAATGTTGGACCTCAGTTAAAGCGAGTCCTATACTGCGCTGTGATTGGCCAGCTATGTATTCGGGGTATGGCTTAGCGAAGGGTCAATTGGGACCATAATTTCCAAAATAAACATGGTGTATTGAAGAAGACTTGAAACTAATGATTTAATCAAGTGTGAAGTGGGGTCATTTTTTTATTGACTCCAATGCAATCGGACTTCTTTCTGCTAAAACTGGAGTTTCCCCCTTCTGGTCATTAGAAAGAATGCAGGTGTAAGGCATTGGCTTCACTGTTCAGACATGGAGGTTGACGCTTGGTAAAATGTAAACTATTTGGGATAGGACCGGTGACCACACTCATAACCAAATGCTAAGGTGCAAGAGGACTGGGAAGAAGAAAGAAGGACGCTGTACACACTTAGCACTAATGCAGTTAAAATAAAATTTACTTAATATTAATGGCCAAGCTTTTGATATCTAGACCTTCATCAGGGAAAATGTTGAACACAAGAGAATCCCACACCTTATGATGACTCTTGGGAAATGCAGTTCAAATGATTTGTAGTTCCCAAAATCTTAATACAAACAGTAGGAATTCCTACAGACACAACATATCAGAAATTATTGTCATTTAACACAACACTCAATCACAATAAACTCTGTCTGCAGCATCCATCTCTAAATAAAACCTCTTAACTCAAGTGCACAGTAGTGCAGAATACAGCATGAAGCATTTGTAGGGGAAACCAAATGAAACACTGCAATCATTAATTGTTAAAAGAATTGAACTCGTTTCATGTCAAACTGATAAATGACACTCAAAATGGCAGTATGTTTCAGTCTGTGAAGTTTTGTAACATTATGTCATGAAAATTTAAAGTAAATTAACTGTCTTTGAAGTATGACTGAAGCATGCTGATATTTGTTTCTTGACCGACCAGTGACAGCAGCTCTAACACGCCCACTGACCAGATTATAATTTGATTCACCACACTTGAGTTGCTCTGTTGAACTTTCCCAAATCACTCCTAAGCTGGGAGCCCTTGAAAGGATTTATCAGCTGAGTTAAAAAGTCTCTTAAAGTAGCCTCAAAGCTTTTTTGTAGTCTAGAAACATTTTCTTCCCTTCATATTACATTTTGCAGTGGCCAAATAAAATGACGTACGTAGAGACGACACAATCTTGGATTAATGAAGCAGGGCCTTGTAACTCCACACCAAACTAACACCAAATAGAGCTCTGATTTCTGAATACATTAACAGTCGTAGATAAACCCTGCAATTTTAGCTTCACAAAGTTCAGCGACATTCAGCTCTTTCCTTGTCAGTTTCCGTGTTGTAATGCATACAAATGTCCTCACTATAAAAAAAGATAAATGAAGGTCAACATTCTGCCCACAGAACAATATTCACTTTGAGTGCTGCTCCTCATGTTCACGTCAAGATTTTATTAACATAGTAAAAAAAAAAAAGAACAATTCCATATCCAAATTTATCCTCTAAGAATGACCTTTTTCTTGATCAGCCTCAGCAGCGGATTGCAATATGAGTTTATTGAATGTTTTCTTTGCAGGTAATTTGTCTGTTTTTTCATATTCTGGTGTTGCTAATCAGAAAGCCATGGACCCTGGCCAGTAAATTGAGGCAATATAAATAAGCTTTTTGATGATTACGGTGAAATTACTTTTACTTTTTATTCATTCTACTAGATGTCTCAACTCCCATCACTGGTGAAGGGCATTACTGCCCATCTACTGTGCTACTATGCTGCCTCAAAAAGTAGCTTTATTAATGTGCAGTTTAGTAATTTTCTCTTCACCACTTACTGTAGCTCACCTGTTTCCCTGTATCATCAAGCAAATGTTGTTGAATTTATCTTCTTTCTAATTTGTACCGTTTTGATACTGGTTGTTTTGGTTAATCAAGAGTCTAATAGTGACTGTATGTAGCGACAATGTGTTAACTTTTATCTGAATCCACACACACACACACACTTACTCACTCACTCACTCAAGGCAATACATAGATAGTTCATTTATAATTCCTTTCTGGAGCGTTAAGAAGAAGTTGAGAGGAACTCTTATCAGCATTACATGCATCACCGGCTTCCTGTCTGTCCTTGATATGCCTCCCCACTCCCATTAGCATTAGAGCAATTCATATGCAAGATGGGAAAAACTATCTCCAAATGACAACAAGGGATTTCCAAATGTGTGTGTGTGTGTGTGTGTGTGTGTGTGTGTGTGTGTGTGTGTGTGTGTAGAGAGAGAGAGAGAGTAACCAGCCCTCTGAAAAATGGGTGCGGAAATGAACTTGGATATGAGATAATTGAAATAAATGCAGCCTGTAATTTATAAAGACCACCCCGGGCGATAATTAATTCTATTGATAAGCTGCAGAGCATGTTTAATTGTGGTGGGGAAGGTCTTTTGTGTGTGTGTGTGTGTGTGTGTGTGTGTGTGTGTGTGTGTGTGTGTGTGTTTGCAAAACAGGCAGTTTGGGATTTCTTGCGTAATACGTGTGTGTATTCTGTATCACTGCAATCTTGTAGGGACTAAATAATCCCCAAAGAGTATAAAACCTGGCAGTGCAAAAGTTTGCACATTCATAATTAAGATCCATTATCAGTAGACTGATTTTCGAGGCATTTTTTCCCCTTTTAATTACCTGTGGCTGTTCTCTTGACATGCTTGGGTTTTAATGTCTGTTTTCAATTAACTATGAGAAATGAAGTGTTCTTTAACTTATTATTAGCAGCACTTTAAAATGAAGCATGTTTTTTTTAAGTTAAATGAAAAGTAATTTTGCAATGCAGCACATCAACAACTGATATCAGGGTGTTAATGTGCGAGGTGTTTAGCTCATATGGACAATGCATCTGCCAGGTGCATCATAAAAAGTGCAGTACAATGAAGCATGACATGATTTTTGCTCATCTAACCTTCCCAAATACAAATGCATCCTAAAGACATTTTGTCACATGGCAGAAAACGAACAAGTGTCATTCCGGTGTCCTGCTACTGATTTGGTTGTTACTATGTCATACTGTATATACCCTTTTCTACTAGCTGTATGCTTTAACAGCTTTGAACATTTTAACATCATGCTTTCCTATCATTTCATCACTCTAAATTTCGTGTTCTCATGTTGACCGATGCATTCATCTGTCCTTCTTCTCTTGTTCTTATCCATCCACCTATATCCGTGACTGACAGACAAACGTGAGTGGGGTGCTGAAAATTGCTTCACATCTGTGTCTAGTGTGATACTATGCTGTGACAATTGTTTTTGCTTTAGTTTTGTGTTTGTGTCCGTGCTTGTCAGTGGTTACTTTTCTTGTAAGTTGTACTTTGGTAGATCAGAGAACAAAGTGTGTGTGTTGCTGAAGGTTGGTTGAACTTCCGGATGATCTGTGATGATGAATTAGGACTCTGTTAAAGTTGAACCTTAAAGTGCACCTTCAACCAGAGAGGATATAATTTTGTTGGAAGGAAATCTGTATACTTTTAGAACTCCATCACACACAGTTGTCTATCACTACCCCAACAGATCTGGCATTGTTATAGTCGTGATGCAGTGGCGTCTTTGTAGCACACCACTTTTAGCGTACATAAAATATATTTGCATTTGCCTTTGTGTTTGAAGATGATTTTTTAGTGTGTCATCTCTTGCTCCTCTGGTATAGAAAGAAAATACTGTTACAAATTTTAAGGTCCCTCATCCATTTCTTTTCTTATTTCTCACCTCATTCATCTCATGTGAAGTCTCTTTTTATTTCATTCAGCTCTAGCAGATATTCTATGGTTTTATCTGCCTTTCTGCCATCCTTTATGTATCCCTCTGTTGTCGGTCACCCCTCTATATAGCATTTTGTTTAACCATTCTGTGCATTACTGCCCTTTCATTTTAAATATCATTCAGTCCCAATCTCCCGCTTCCATTTCATTTAACTTGGATTTACATTTACTTGAAATTACATCTTTGTAATTCATTATACCCTCTTCTCCCTCATATTTTATCTGTAATTCTACTATTTCTGCCTTCATTCCATCTTTTTATTTTCTTCATTTTTTCTTTTATCCATGTACCAGCCGGTCAGACCACAGCGGTGGTGGAAGTGGTGGCAGTTTGGATGAAAGCGACCGGCAACGCCTGATCTCAGATTTTGCCACACGAGCGATTGCTGCCCATCGTCAGTGCGTTGCTAATGGAGGGGTGCTCAACAACCTGCCCAAGTCTGAGTCCAACATCACCTTTCTCTCAGATGAAAACCCCCTGACTATCAAAAATCCCATCTACCATGAGGATGGGACTTTGAGTAGCCCAGAGACTCTTGGAAGAAGCCAGAGGAGAAGAGACCTTCTTGGGAATTTCTCCCCTTCCCGGGAAGGCCTTCGAGAGGCCTGGCTGAGGCTCAGCACCACTGGGGGAGATACGGGATTTGGTGGGTACAGTGGCAGTGACAGTGGATGGGGATCTGGGGTTGGACACAGCTGGACTCTCCCATCAAGATTACATCGAAGAGAGATGTATGACACTTTAAGACGACAAGTCGTAATGGATCCAGTGCAGTGGGAGCTGGAGCTTCTAAAGGCCGAATTCAAGGAGAGTAAAGATGCGGGTCTGGATTCAGGATTTGATCGTGGGTTGGATTCAGACTTAATGGGAAGCCCCAATCAGGAACCCAAGCTGACAGTCAAAGAACAAGCCAGACAGTTTGAGCAACAGGCACTCCAGGAAATGAGGCAAAGGCAAAACAGAGACTCACGAGGGTCTTTGTCGCCTGACATCCTACTTTCTGTTTTCCCGGAGTCTCCTCTCCGTCATAAGGACACTCCCACCCACAGTATGCCAACTGCTCAGGTTAAAGAGGGACCCCCAAGTATCGTTGTCACGCTAAGTGATGGAGGGACCCCGCCCCCAAGCCACAAGCCAACTCCTCCAGTGCTGCGGCGCTTTGGGGCAAATTTAACAGGTGGGGACGAAAGACTTCAGGTCCATTTAGAGGTTATACCTGATCCTCCATCAACTCCTCCACCGCCACCACCACCTCCAACCCCACCACCTCCCCCTCCCACTTCTGCTCCTCCCCCTCCTTCATCTCCTCCTCCCCCTCCTTCATCTCCTCCTCCACACCACCCTTCCTCCCCTCCTCCTCTTCCCCCTGCTTCATCTCACTCCAGTCAGACTGAAAAGCATCCTCCTCCTCCTCCTCTTCCTCTAACACCTCCTCTACCTCCCCCACCTCCACCTCTCCCTCCCCCTTTGTCACCCTCTCTCCTGCGTCCATCCACCTTTGTCCTCCCATCACTCGCAGATGTACCAGCCCTGCGGCCCGTGTCCCTACGGCCTCCGCCGCCACCCCTTCCCATAGAGCCCGAACCTCCCCGTAAAGAGCTGAAAGGAATCTTAAAGAACATCCAAAACATTGCGGACATTGAGAAGTCGGTGGCCAACATGTTAAGTCAGATAGATACGAAGCAGATCCCGCTAAAAAAGGTCCTGAAGAGCCGCGCCTCCATGGATTCTCTTGATTCCCTCGACTCTTTGGATGCATTAGCATTAGGAGGAGGGGGTGGAGGAGAGGGAGGTAATGAAGGAGCAGAAGGAGTGGAAGGAGGAGGAGAGGAACCTCCACATCCACCGCCACAAATTCAGCCCAACCCAAACATGAACTCCATTGTGGAAGAGCTTGAGAAACGATTCCCCTCTCAGTCTACAATGCTATAGCTTTTGCCTTTATGATATGGAAAACACACAGAGGGGGATTTCTTAACATTGTTGCGTAGTTGCCAAGGAGCTGTCAAGGGACTGATGCTCAAAATAGCTCAGTGGGATGCTGTGATGATTTGGTGATTTTTACCTTGCTGCAGCTATGCTCTTCCAACATGACTTCCTGTTTTCTACATAAAAAGAAAAGAAAGAACTAGGACTAATATAAACTCGATGGGCAGAAGATGAAGAAGAAAAATGTTTGTTTTCTCAAATGATGGTACTTGTTGAACAGAAAAAAAGAAGGGAGGAAGTTGAAACTGCAGAAAAGGTCACGTCTTGCATAGCCCTAATAAATTCAGTCATGTAAAAACTGGAAAGAAGCCCAAAAGGGCTTCTACTCTCTTTCTGTTGCTGTATTCCGCACTATTTCTCTTTGACTGTTACAAGAAGAGAGAAGGATTAAAGGAGTGGTGACGGACGAGGAGGAAATGATAATCAGGTGAAGAGGTTAAGTCCATTTTTCAATTTGTGTCCCCATTTCAGTGAACCTAGGATGAATTGAAAAGGCAGCTTCACACCCCAACACCGCAGCAGTTATTTGGAGGGCCAACACGTTATCTGCCACTTGCCATTACTTTAGTTTCCCCACAAACGGTATTTACACGACTTATGTTTTAAATAACACTGAGGAAAATGGGCTTAAAACTGCAGATGGGAGCAGTGAAATTAAATAATTACAAAATGTCTCCTGTTAACTTTCAGCTTGACTACTGTCATTAACGTTGTATATCCATGGCAAGTTGTTGACATTTTTATCAACAACGAATTATAATCAGTCGAAGACACATGATTGTTGATGGGGTCACTTGCTGTTGTGAGAAGCTAATTACCCTCTTGTGGTGGCTTTAACACACAACCTCTGCAGGTCTAAACTAGTTTGTAGATTGTAAATTTAGTGGGTGTGAAAAGGAAAATCTAAAGAGAGAACAATATTAAACCTGCCAACCTGGGTTGGGATATATTGGCGAAAAATAAAAAAATGTGTTTTAATGATGCATTCAGTGCAGTATCAACATGACTGTGACTTTAAGTGAAAGAACAACATTCCCTCAAGATGTTAATAGAAGGTGTTATCCTGCCAGGACGTTACGTTTTAATAGTTGTATATAAATGTAATTTCTAGAAGACAGGGTCGATCTTTTTATATCAATACTTATTGATCACCAACATGTGTTGAAAACTAGCTAACTCCGGATCTAACACTTGCTTCAAATTGCAAACACAGACATGGTGAAAGTAACATTTTCTTTCAAAGTGGCGGTTATCTTTTGTCATTTTGTGTCTGCTCCATTTTTGTCATATACTCATTTAGTTGGTATTTCATATTTTTCATATTTTTATAAAGAGACTTTTGTCTCAAGTTCCCTATTTTGATTCTTAGCTGTAAAACATTTGCGCACAGTCTTTTCTGTTTTGTTGTTCTCAGTCTGTCTTCTATAAAATCCAATTTTCATTATATCTTTACGTAATTGTATCTTTTTCCCACATTGTCTGTGTATCCACAACTGTCCTGCATTGTCTTTTAATGTTCTACAAGGTCATGTGAATGAACATGAAAAATGTTAATGAGTAGGTAGATGCATAGCTACAGTAAAAAACAAAACAAAAAAACAAGTCTAAAACATTTATGTAGAGTAATATTTTTATTCACAATACATGCTAAATTGTTATGATGATTTTTTTAGAGGGTTCTGTTTCTTTTACCCAAGGTTTCCTTCGTTAAAATCCATGTGCGGGTACTTTGGGGAATTTTTTTTTTGAAAAATACATAAAGGCCATGGACATCACAACATTTTGCTCAATAAAATATGTGGGGCTAACTAAGAGTATCCAAGACCATTTTTATTTGACAAAAAGTTGAAATCACTTTGAAAAATAGTGCTGGAACCATAACCATTTCAAAATTACCCCCTTACACTAACCTATACTGGTAGCTACTGTAGTAATTAATCCTAGTTTGAACCAAATAGCCCCTAGTCCCGTGTCACTTTAACATTAGTGCTTGATACAGGTACCAAGATAGAAACTCCAATTATGTACATTTGTCCTGCATGTTTACAGCACTTGTTTCCCCCTAGCAAATGCCTCAGGGAGGAGCAGAAGTGAAGCAGCAGTGCTATCTATGGGCATGTGCGAAGTGTAGCATCTACTGAGTGACAATGACGGCATCTGTGGAGTTGTTTTTTTTACTTGCTGGAATTGTGCCAGAAATGTATGCAGAGGGAGTTATGTACACAGCCTCCTACATTCGTGGCATATTAATGAGGAAATACAATGTTTCGCTCACCTCAGATATGAGATACTGTGATTTATAAGGTCACGTAGCCACAAAATGAATAATAGTTACTGGATTTATACATTTGGAGATGTTTCACTCATCCCAAAATCCCAAGGGGTTAATTGTAGAACCAATGTCTACCTTTGAAAATATATATATTTTATTTATATATATAAATAATTATACTTTGCTGTTCCAGGCAGGGAAATTGCCTTGAGAACATTTTTAGCCAAACAAAATGTCAGCATAATTTTAGAAAGAAAAAAGTGATAAAAACTATAGTATTGCAGATCAGGTGGCACTATGGACTTTTTGCTACATGTTTTGACATACATTTCTGCCTTCTCAGAAAAAAAAACAACATAAATCATAAATGCACAGGCAGACCTCTACAAAGTATATTTCACTTTCATGTATGTTCAGATTTGGCTCTTTCTCTTTGATATATAAATGTTTTCCCATCGCAGTTAAAGGATATAAATAAATGACTCCCTACTGGGTGAGATTAAAAAGTGATTCAGAAATGTCATCTGTCAACTCTTTGTTAGATATGTCTGTTCCTTCCCTTTTCTTTGATGAAATACCTGTAATGGTTAAACAGAAAAAGGATTGATATGTCCATTCAGTTAACCAGATATGGAAAGACATGGCAACCTTTGAAGCCCTGACATTACCTTAAAAATCTCTAAAATGTACTTGCAAGCATCACAAGTCGTTTCACTTGTGATGTGGAACCAAAGCCTGTGGATATAGCTCTGTCAGCAGCGGATTTCACTGCCATCCGTTAACAGGGTTTCAACAAGTTGACTCCAGACAGATATTGCCATCATGAAGTGACAGAATCACATCTATTTTGCAAGACCAGCATGTCACAGATGATCGTATCTGGGCAATTGATGATGATTGGATCAAATCATGAAAAGCACGGCCAAATAAAACAAACCCTGATCTTGTGTTTATCAAGTGATGACATTATGAGAGGATTTACACTGTCAGATACCAAACACACACACACACACACACACACACCTTGATGGATCTTTTCTCCAGTGGAATCAAAAGAGCTGTTGTTTCAGGACAGAATCAGCTGGTTTAGACACACACACACACAGCGCTTGCAATTTTTCTGCGATGTGTTTCTCTTCTTACATACACAATATCAAGATCAAGCTATAAACCATGTGTTGTTAAGTTGTTCATTTATAAAAGGCCAAACACAAATGATGTAGGGCATAAACAGGAGTGTGAAAAACACAGAACTGCATTAAAGAGGTTGCAGGCAGTGTTTCTGTTTCAGCTGACTGGGTTGGAAATGTTTTATGTTAAGATTAGCTTTCAACCTCGGTGTGTTGCATGTCATTGCACACGCTCAGCGTATCTCGCGGACAGATTCTGATTTCTCTTTTTCAGTTCTTATTGTGTGCTTTTGCTAAAGAACAGACATCTTTGGGAATATGTATTGTTTAAAACATTCAGCAAAGCAGACTGCATTTAATTGAAACTGAATTGTGAAACGGAGATGTAGCAAGAGAGCGGCTGTTGTATAATTGTACAAGTCACAGGTTTGATCCTCGCTACAGAGAATATCATGAGAAATGTGGTCATTGAAGCGGCAAATAGCGATGTGTGTTACATATGGCTTTGACCTGCTGTATTAACTGTAGTTTTTCTGTGCAAAGATGAATTATCATCAGCATTTCCAATGTGCCCACTTTCAGTTTGACTTCTTAGTAAAGTGATTTCCATAATATGGATAAACTGCTGTAATTCCCTGACTTGTCATCTAGCACCACTGTATGGTCCAAATTTTAATTTGTCAAATACTTCTATACTTCTTATTTCTGCAAAACTAATGACATTTCCGTCATCCTCAGCTGGATTTTGTGTTGTGGTGGTTAACATGGTAAACATTAAATCAACTAGATATCAACATGTTAGCATTGTGTCTGTGAGTTAGCATGTTTAGCTCCAAGCACTGTGTCAGAGTACAGCCTCACAGAGCCTCTAGCATGGCTGTAATTTTTTAGTCTTGTTTGAAAACCGGACTTAGCCGTTTTAGCGATGTCATCATGATCCCAGATCCCATTTGGTGAGTGTTACCATAATAGAAATGAGAAAATAAGAGTTGTAATAAACCACAATTGTTTGGTCACTGGGCCATGTCCTCTGGGTATGAGAAGCAACTAAATATCTATAAGAATATTGTGGGAGTTTTGTTGGTATAAATCTGCTTAGACAAGAAATTTTAACCTTAGATTATATATCATAAGTGATAAAGCTGTTTGAAGCTGGAACACAGCTGGTTTGTCTCCAACGGTCCTGGCCACATTTTACAACACAAAAGGAGCACCTTCTTTACATACTGAGGGTTTACCCTCCTTCAAATAGGTTTATTCTGTGAACATGAAGAGTTACTTTTGACATTATTGTGTACAGAACACGCAATATCATTGAGAGATGTGAAATGTGAGAAAAAGGGTTGTGGAGAGAGAGAAGGCTGAAATAAGCAGAGAGAGTGGGAGAAAAAGGGAGTAACAAATGAGTGGTAACAGTGCAAAGGGCGAGGGAGCTACAGTAGCTTTATGGGAGAGACGTGAGAGATAAAATGTAGGAAGAAAATAGAAAAGACAAGAGAACACTGTTATTGGGTGTTGTAGTATGAGTCTTTTCTTTAAGAGCTAATAATATTTCTCTCCTGTCTTTCTGTTTCTCTTACGTACTGTGAAACAAGGTGGGGAGGACACAAATAGTGAGAGTCAATTATGTCAGGTGTGTGTGTGTGTGTGTGTGTGTGTGTGACGGAGATCAAATAGCTTTTTGTGTGTGTTTGTCTCCAGAGCACCTAATAATGTGGTCTCTCACAGCAACAAGGAAACACAGATAGACTTGTCTCCACAGACACAAGCACAGACTACGCATCACACAAGGCTGGGCACATGACTGCTGGCAGCTATAATCTGGAGAGTATAAACACACAAACACACACACACACAGTGATGGTGAAAGGGGCTATTTCCTTCTAACCTGTAGATCACCCAAAAAACAACCTTTTCGTCTATGTATTCCTTCCATTTATCCCTCCGTTTATTCACCCATTCAGCCTTTTCTATTCATCCACTGATATGTCCATCAAATCTACCCATACTTCCTTCCATGCCTTTATTTAACCAAATAATCTTCTTTTTTTGAAGCACTCTCATTCATTCAAAACTGCATTTTGATTCTGAAGGGAGCACAATTTCTCCTTGAAGTCTGCATCTGTGTCTGTTTGTGTGTTAAGAGGCACAATTATATTCTCATCTGAATGTATTTAATGAAATGCTCATTGCATTTGTGTGTGTGTGTGTGTGTGTGTGTGTGTGTGTGTGTGTGTGTGTGTGTGCGCGCGTGCCTGTGTGTGTTTGCACTCTAATTTCTAACAGAAAGGAGAATCTTTTGTGTCCTCTAAAAGTCACCATTTGTTGTTCTGTGATATATCTTCATTTGATCAGCTCATTACCTTGGTTTCACATGACAGTACATCCTGCCGGAAACATAGTTAAGACGCATGGACAGAGAGGTTTTTGGCAGTTTTTCTTATTTTGCTATTCATTTATTTGTATTTTTCCCTTTGGCTTTTGTCTCATTGTTTTTCCCTCATTCTTTAAAGTTTGTGTCTTACAATATCTCACCGTTTCTCTCCATCTCTCTTTGTCCTATTGTATTTGTTTGCAGTTTTTCCCCTTTCATTTCACAGTACTGTAAACGTTATCAAGCTCATTTGTTCATACTATCATCAACTTGGCTGCTGGGTGCACCCAGTCTGATATGTGGTGAAATGAATTGTCAGAGTTTATTATTTTCCCACAAAGTGTATTAAAATCAATCAAGAGGAAATTATCTTAAAGGAATTGTTCAGCATTTTGGGAGAAACACTCAATCAATTTCTTGATGTGAGTTGGGTACGTATGGTGCCACTCTTGTCTGTAAGGCTATTATGAAGCAATATACAGCCAGTGGAGAATTAGCTTAGCATAAGGAGTGGAAGCAATAGGAGAAACGGTTGCACGTAAAACCACAACTTGTCTTTTACATTTTGGTGTTTGTATGGAAAAAAGTTATAACATGTTTATTACTAAACTTAAGACATGCTTGTAGGGTTTTGATTTTCTTACCTTTGGACAGAGCCAGGGTAGCTGTTTCCCCCCTGATTCCAGTCTTTATGCTACTAAGCTAACAGCCAGCTGGCTTTAGCTCCATACTTGGCCTACAGATACAGTACTGGTATCAATTTTATGTAACTTCAAGCAAGAAAGCAAAAAAGTATATTTCCAAATATGTCAAACTATTCTATACTTTATTAGGACAATGTTTACAGAGTATAACACACAGAAGCTGAGGGTGTGACTTACACTTTGTTATCAGGGTAAAACGTTTCCACACATCATGTAACAGGAATATAATAATTAAAATGTAATG